CCACAATGTTTTAATGTATATGGCATGTCTCTCCACATCTGAAGCCACGTGTACCTTAATCTAGAGTTTGAATTCAATTCCAGTAAAACTTCCTGTTATTCGCAATTGGCGGCAATAGGCAATAATGCACTAGTAAGCATTTAATAACAGTAGTTCAGAAAAAAATAAATACATGATCTGCTCCAGTACACCACTGGCCATAGGATTTTTTCTTTAGTTCCTGGAAGATGACTGACATCTCTTTGGGTATTCAAACATTTCTCATGTCAGGCAGCAACTTCAGTTATGCTTGATGAGCAGAGTTCTGCAGAAAGATCACCAGACATTTGTTCCATTATACATCACTTCCATGTGTCTTCAAAATAGTCTTCTTTCTTTAATGAATATTTAGGTATATTTAGGTGGTCATCTTTTTGAGTAAAATTCAGGAAATCTCAGATCTTTTTTTCAGTTTTTTTCCCCCACCTTTTTGAAGATAGAAATTAAAAATAAAATTATAAGATATTTAAAGTGTACAATGTGATGATTTACAATGAATTGTGAAAGTGTTTCCCTCATTGAGTTAATTAGCAAATCCACTACCTCACATATTTACTTTATTTCTTCTCTCTCTCTCTCTCTCTGTCTCTCTCTGTCTCTGTCTCCGTCTCTCTCTCTCCTCTTCTTCCTTCCTTCTTTTTTCTTTCTTCCTATCTTCTTTTATGAGGACATTTAAGTTCTACTCTCTTAGTAAATTTCAATTATACAATATTACAGTGTTATCAACTACAGTAACCATGTTATACATTAGCTCCTCAGACTAATTCATCTTATAAACTAAAAATTTGTACCATTTTACTAACTTTTCCCCATTTCTTGCACTCCTAATCTCTGGCAACCACTATTCTACTCTCTTTTCTATGAGTTTAATTCCTTCCTTCCTTCCTTCCTTTCTACCTTCCTTCCTTCCTTCCTTCCTTTTCTTTCCTTCCTTTCTTTCTTTTTTTTTTTAATATCACATAAGTGATACTTAGCATAATGCCCTACAGGTTCATCCATATTGTTACAAATAACAGGATTTCCTTTTATTAAAGGGTAAAAAAAACCCACAAAATTCCATTGATATCCATTCATCCATTAACAGACACTTAGTTTGTTTCCTTATCTTGGCTATTGTAAATAATGCTGCTATGAACATGGGAGTGCAGATATCTTTTCAAATAAAGGTTTGTTTCCTTTGGATATATACCCAGAAGCAGTATTGCTGAATCATATAGTAGTTTTATTTTTACTTTCTTAAGGAAATTCCATAGTGTTTTCTATAATAGCTGTACCAGTTTACATTGCCGCCAACAGTATATAAGGGTTCTCTTTTCTCTACTTCCTTGCCAGAATTTATCTCCTGTCTTCTTGATAATAGACATCCTAACAGGTATAAGATGATATCTCATTGTGGTTTCGATTTGCATTTCCATGATGATTAGTGATGCAGATTACCTTTTTATGTATCTACTGGCCATTTCTATGTCTTCTTTGGACAAACGTCTATTCAGATACTTTGCCCATTTTTCAATTGGTTCGTCTTTTTGCTATTGGGTTGTATGAATTCCTTGAGTGTCTTGAATACTTTAACTTTTATTGGATATATGATTTACAATAATTTCTCCCATTCCCTAGGTTGCTTTTTTATTTTATTTATGGTTTCCTTTGCTGTAAAGAAGCTTGTTAGTTTGATGTAGCATGCTTGCTTATTTTTGTTTTTGTTGCCTTTGCTTTTTATGTCAAATCCAAAAACATCACTGCCAAGACCAATTTAAGGAGCTTACTCTGTATGTTTTCTTTTCGGAGTTTTACAGTTTTAGGTTTTATGTTCAAGTCTTTAATCCATTTTAAGTTAATTTTTGTGCATGGTGTAAGATCAGGGTCTAGTTTTATTCTTTTGCATGTGGCTATCAAGTTTTCACAGCACCATTTATTGAAGAGACAATCCTTTCCCCATTGCATGTTCTTGGCTTCTTTGTCTTAAATGGATTGACCATATATGTATGGATTTATTTCTGGGCTCTCTATTCTGTTCCATTGATTTGTGTGTCTGTTTTTATGCCAATAACATAGTTTTGATTATGAGAGCTTTGTAGTATAGTTTGATACCTCCAGCTTTATTCTTCATTCTCATGATTGCTTTGGCTATTTAGGGCTTTTGTGGTTCCACACAAATGTTAGAATTGTTTGTTCTATTTTTGTGAAAAATGCCACTGAAATTTTGATAGGGATTGCATAGAATCTGTAGATCATTTTGGGTAATGTGGACATTTTAGCAATATTAATTATTTTAATCCATGAGCATAGTATATCTTTCCTTTGATTTGTTTCATTTTCAATTTTTTTTCATTGATGTCTTATAGTTTTCATTTCCTAGATTAAATTTATTCCCAAGTATTTTATTCTTCTTGATACAATTATAAATGAGATCATTTTCTTAAGTTTTCTTTTTGATCATTGAAGCTGTACATTTAGCTCTTAAATATAAGGTTTAATGTAGATGCTTGGTGCATTTCAGGTTGACTATTTGGTTTCATTTGTTACATACACACTCAAATACATGTTGAAACAGACACACGCATCACACACACAATATTTCTTTCAGAAGTTTAATCTTTCTCAACTATTATTTCTTCAGCTGGTAGAACTAAGAATTAAGATGGACTGTAGAACCAAATTTGTTTGCTTTCAAAATAGCTAGCTGGCATAATTTATTTAAATATACTGAAGTATAAATGAAAACAAATAAAATTAATAACTTAAAAATCATCTTCTTGTACTTAGAGAGGATTATACTGACCACTCCTGTCACTCTCTATTACCTTACTTTATTTTTTATCAAAACATTTATTGCTGCATATTATATTAAAATTTTTATTTATTGTGTCATCCATAGCACCTACAATGGTGTGCATAGTCACATAATAAATAATCTTAGAAAAATTCATTAGTATTTGGAGTCCTCAATCCCCACCAAAAATCTCCATTAAAACTAATTAAAATAATTAAATTAACAAATTCCTGAACTTTACTCATTGAAATGTTTTAAATATTGGTTTCATAATACTGTGCAAAATAAGAAAGTAATTGATGTGCTACATTCAAAGTTAATTTCGTGTACTCCATATAGCTTATATTTTAGGTCATAACCTCTAGATGTGGTTAAAATCTATTTACATTATAGCCTGCCATAATTGTAAACAGAAAAAAAATCATACCTAGATACACTTGTATTTTACATATATAATTGCAAAAAGCTTTTTCATTTATATTAAGTTCTTTCTGAAAATTATTGTTAATGTTTACATATTTTATCATAAAAATATGTAATGATTTACATATTAGTTATCCCAGTTTCTCAAGACCTATGGCTACCAACGGGATTCTATTTGCATTACTTATCCAACTTTCACTGGCTCATGACATTGCCTCCTTACATACGTCCTCAAGCCTACAAAGATCTTGGAAAGTATTTTGGAGAGTTCTCAAATGGTTACATAACAGCATCTCCCATGTCCTCATGAATATGGATCTGATTGGCACCATGTGATTGCCACAGGACACTAACATTCTCAGGCCACCATAGTGCCCACAGGCAGTGCTGCCACCATAAAAAAAATTTTGGAGGAATGGTGGACACTTTCCTCACATTTACTGCGACTCACTGTCTTTGGCCAATCTATAGCCTCTACTACATGGTGTGACTGCTATTTTTGTCTCCTTTCAGTTGTACAAGTAGTCTGCTAGGGTCTAGCACAGATTCCTAGAAGTCACCACAGATACTAGAGTGATCTACCACAGAGTAGAAAAGAATGTCATATCTTGTGTAATGTAGTTGTTGTTTGTGCTCTGATATCAGAGAGGTGAATTAGCTTTATATTTTACTAATTATTCTCTTCCCAGGAATACAGACAGAAGCCCATGGGAATAGCTGAGAGTGTTCTCCAATGACAGGTTTAGAATTACCCCCTTTCTTTTTCCCTAAGATTTTATTACATAGTGAAGCTTAAGATATTTGTTTGTTTGTTTGTTTGTTTGTTTTTCCATAGGATTAGTTCTTCACTAGCTTCATCCTCAGGCACTAATTCAAATTGATTTCTGTTAACTCTCTTTCAACCCTCTTTCTCCTAGTTCTCAGACCATAACAACAAACTTAAGCACTACCATATAACAATTATCCTACTGTTAGACAGTGGTGGTTTAAAATTTCCCCTATGCTGCAATGAAAATCTTGGTGTTGAAAGCTCTTTTCAGTGTAGAAGTTATTTCTTTTAAAAAAACAGATGGATTTTGGGGGCAAAATTTTCGAAAAGTTGTAGGATTCTTAGTATGTATAAAAGAGTAGATGTTCCTCTCTGATTTTTTACCTGTAGATAATACCTCTCCTAATCTTAAGAAAGCCATATCCTCATTAAGCAATCCTTGTGGTAAAATAACAGCCATTCCTCAAAACAACTTCATCACTTGCTTTAAGTAAATGTAATAATGTATCACCCAGAAACACCAAAACTTTATATTTCTTAAAAAAAAAAAAAAATTCACTTCAATTTCCTGGCTAGCAGAGTATGACTCTCAAAAATTTTTGCGATTATTTAAGCCTTCAAGTTTGAATGCCAAGGTTTAGGTCTGGTTTTGAAATCTTATACCCATAAATTGAGTATGTTATACATACAAAAGTTTCTCCAATCTAACATGAGATATTGGTGCCTTGATAGAATGTTATCTCCCTGACTTATCATTCACTTATCTCTCTCTAACTTATCACTCACAACCTTGAAGAGTTTCCATAGGCCCATGGTAAACAATGTTAATTATATTTATAATCAGCTCTTCTTGGCTCTAAACTAACCAATTCGTACTCTTTGACTCAGTGAGTTATACAGGCCAATATTATGCTTTGTTCTTGCCTACATCAATCCTTTAGCTATGGACATTTAAAATGATTTTCATTATTTGTTTGTTTGTTTGTTTTTCATGCTGGACCTTAGATCCGAAGAGAACGATAGTAGGGAGTTCTCACTCATTTCGTTCAGATTCTAATATATTTATAATTGCTGAATAATTTCTAATCTTTCCCTCTATTTTCCTTTTCTCTCTTACTTTTTAGTAAGAAGGCAAAATAAAATCTATATAGTAGATAAAGCAGTGTGTATGTGTAGAGAAAAACATCCCAGACTAATTTGCCAATAGAACTGGAAGGAACATTAATGTAAATGTTTTAAAAATGCATCTTACAAGTCTGTCAAAACAATCTAAAAACAGATCTTATATAGGACTATGCACATTGAGTGAATACTTTGAAACTGCTGATTTATAAAAGAAAATTATCTTGATCCTCTTAATCATCATTCTCATTATCCCAGATATGATTATTAAATGCCTACCATGCATCAGGTAATGCCCCGAGCAGTTTACTAATTGTATTAATTTCCTAGGGTTGCCACAACAAATTACATGAACTTGGTGACTTAAAACAATAGAAATTATAGTTCTGGAGGCTAACAGTCTGAAATCAAGGTATCTGTAGGGTTACACTTCCTCCTAAAAATACAGGGGAGATTATGTTCCTTGCTTCTTCCAATTTCTAGTGGTTGCTAGCTTCTTTGAGATTGTGGCTAAATAACTCCAATCTCTGCTTCTTTAGTCGTATTGTTTTATTCCCTCCATCTATCTCTTCCGTGTATCTTTTATAAAAATACTTGTTATTGGATGTAGGACCAATCCCTATAATTCAGGATGAGCTCATCTCAAGAAACTTAACTACATCTTCAAAGACCTTTTTTCTAAATGAGGTGACATTCACAGGTTCTGGAGATTAAGTCATAAACATTTTTTTGAGACATTATTTAACCCACTATACTTAAATTATTTTTAATTGTCACAAATATAGACATACACTAAAAGTGAGAGAGGTTAGTGATTTTCTTAAAGTTGCACAGAATTCATCCCATTGCATTTTGTTTTGTTTTGTTTTGTTTTTGTTGAGGTATGACTGGCATACAAAAAAAGATGTACATAGTTAATGTATATATCTCAAGAAATTTGTCATTATTTTACTTGTTTATTTACTCATTTGCATATTGCTCTCTGGGTCTAGGTATCTTGGTGGCTGAGATACTCTCTTATTTTGTTTTATGTTCCCAGTGCCTCACTTTTAGCCTTTAATATAGACTAGGTACTAAATAACCAATTGTTGAATAAATAGATGTATGAATTCTAACCAGTAAAACCTCTACCAATGATCACCTATAACCAATAACCATAAGAAAATGTATCTGTCACATTGCAGCTGTTTTACCTAAAAGCATCAAAATTCAATAGCAAATGCTAACCTCTTTCCTGAGATATATAATAAGAAAATTTAATTCTTTAGACTATCTACTCAAAGAACAGTCTCTAAAATATAAGTATAGGAATAAGAATCAACCAATTTTTTACCTTCTTCCTTTGTCTTTTCTTCTTATTTTGTTTTCTTAAAGTTAGAGATAACTGAAAGAAGGAGAAAACCTTGATAGATAACCTCCTTATTTGGTCTTTAAGCACAGCCACTACCACATATTGACTGGTGTGTGATTTGTACAGAGCAGGGAGATCCAATTTGTTGCCTAGTTATTACTGGTGACTGAGGATAGCTTTTTTCCCCAAAATTGAGTGTTAATGAGGATGGCCGAACACCACATCAGTCATTCATTGTAGAAGTAGTTTTGTGAATGAATCATTCAGCTTCCCTTTCTCTCCTTGAGGGAATTTCTATAAGCAACTAAAATTTTGATAATATAGAGGACTAGGATTGAAAATTTTAGATCTCATCTATTTGAGGAGTAATTTTCACAGTTACTATTTTTTTCTGAGTTATTTTATTCTAAGTGTTTTTTGTTTGTTTGTTTCTTTAATTTGTTTTGGGGAGTTATTGGTCCTGTTATTTTTTATTCATTCATTAACCTTTCTTATGCCAGGGCACCTACCATCCAGGTAATCTTAGTGTTGTATCACAGACTTTTTGTTTGGTTTAGATGTACTTTCTTCTTGAAGGGTTTCAACATTGTGGTCCTTATCTGTTCTCTAAACATTTCTGAGTTTGGGTATTTCTGAGTTTGGGTATTTTCTGAGTCTTTGGATATTGCAAGGAAGATATCAACAAAATTTTTATGGTAAGTTGGTATCAGATTCATGGATTTGAGAATGCAATTGTTTGAAAGGACAAAATTCAAAAACACTAAAGTGTTAGGATTAAATATAATCAATTTGAGGCACCTTGATTCAGATTTATTTTAAGCCATAAGAAACTAAATCTTTCTGGTATTTCTGATATTCAATTTCTTCATTTATAAAATGCATATTACATAATACATTTCAATCAGGGTTTGGGTGAAATTTAGACGAGTAATACATGTTGAGTATTTGGCACAATGCCTGGAACATATTAAGTGCTCAAATATTGTTACTTAAAAGAAGTTCAGGCAGGGTAGATAATTTTAGAAAGTTTTTTCCACATATTTAGTGAAAATTTTATCATGTAGTTATAAATTTATTATCTTTGTGAGCTTTTCAGTACCCAACGCTGACCCCTCAGGCATACTAGCTCAATAAACTAAATTGAGAGAGCAGATATGTTTCTCATGGAAAAATTTGCATTAACAAAATTTATGAACTGGCAGATAAAATCAGAATGCTAATTTCTTAATCTTCTGCTTAAAACATAATTGTCATGCAGTTTGAAGTATGTGAATGCTTATTATTTTATCTCTGTAGGCAGACTTCATGGGAAATAAAATCATAATTAGAATGCTATGTAGAATCTGAATAAGAAACCATAGATGGAAAGAAATGTAATTACCATCAAGTTTATGTAGTTTAATAAATTCATCTTTGCAACATGGATGATCTTATAAAAAACACGGGAATGTTTAAATTTCGTTTTCTAATTTTCTCTTTCCTTAGAATGTTGGTTGGGTGAGTATTACACTTGTTTGCTTCTATCACTAAACTTATGATCAACCTTCTGGCAAGTTGATCTTTTTTCCTTCACAAATGTTGACATTTTTAGTAAGTAGTCAGTCCTTCTTGCTAAGAGCAACTCTCTCTCCTTACAAAATGTTCTCATCTATAAGCTCTCATTCATTGTGTGTTGATTTTTACACTATAAACATCAGAAAGCAATCTCATTTTTCTTATTCCCATAATTCTCGAGTCACCTCTAACTAAAGATGCTGCTTATTTCTTTGTGGCTTTCGGTGTTCTTGTTTTTAAAAATGGAGATGATACTAGTATCTTCTTCATATGGTTTTTGAGATGCTTTATAAAATAATGCTTTTAAAGGACTTAACACAGTACCTGCCATAAGTACAAACTCAGTAAATGTTTTTTAAAACTCTAACTCGCCTAACATTTAATAGTGTTTTGCTATGGCTTGATTTGTCATAAAAAGGGAGGCCTGCCATAGCAAGACTTTTAATAATGCATACAGCTCACTCTCTGTATCTAATACAGAGATATGTACAAAGTAAAGGCCATCTTTATTTTAACTAGCTATAGAAAAGTGTTGGAAATGCCTGAACTCCACTTCAAATGGGTATCTGGAAGTTGCAGCCTTAGGTCCCTTTTGAAGAGGAGTCAGGCAAGCGAAATAGAATAATGGACATGAATTTTCTTTAAAAATGGCAAAAACACATTAATGTCAGGAGGATAATCACTATTATTAGAAGGATGGTAACTTTATAGAGAACATGGGAACAGCAAATGCATCAATGAAGCTTTCTAGAGTTGGTGAAGAGACAAAATCCACAAACTTTCATGCAAATCTGATAAAAATTCTTGAGCAATTACTTCCTTCTTTAATAATAAAATTATCACAAGGCAATCTATGACATAACAAGACAAAGTGCTCCAGTTGTTAACGCCTTCGGTTGACATCTGAAAAAGAATCTCCCCTACAGAGATTATAAAACGACATTATTCTTGCTCCACTATTTTCATAGGCAGCAAGAAGAAACTACAGGATAATGAATCAACAAGTCACTTATCCAACCTCCTCCTTTCAGCAGCTTTGCTTTAAATAATCTTATTTAAATTATTCAATAAATCCGCCAGAAGCGCAGAAAGGATTATTAGTCAATCTTTCCTACACGAGGCATGGTTGGAAGGCTTAACAGTTTCAAACTGAAAATTATTTCTTAGTTATGTAAATGTTTCTGATCTATCATTTGCTCATGAAATATATCATGAAATAGTGAGAGGCTGAAACAAGATTTTGACTTTGAAACAAGAAACCATTTACTATGCGAAGAAAGCAGTCCTGGGTTTACCAGGTTGATAGCAGCCATAGATCCTGTAAGAATATACAAATGGGAATTCTTAGCAAAAAGTGGATCTCAATGCCTCCACAAATTAGGCTGTCTCTCTGTTAAAGGCAACCTATTAGAAAGGTGTTTTGTTTTTTTAAATGCAATCTTCCAATTTGAAAATCTACATATTTCTTTCTAAAAACCTCCCAAGGTGAACACACCTTGATTGTTTCCATATTGGGCAAAATCAACTTGATCTAGCTTGATGTCGGTGCCTGTTGTAAATCACGCTAATTGCCAACTGCTTCTATGGCTCAAATAATCAGATTGGACCAGAGCATGTGTTAGCAGTTTACCTCTTCAAAGATCAGGGCCTTTATTTTTATTTGCTTTGTCCTTGATTGCCTTGAACAATCTGGACAAATAATCTTTATTTTAATGGAATTATATTCAATCAGTCTATTCGAGTGAAATAAGTCATGTCCTGACATTGTAGAGAACCAGATTGAGCTTTGGAAGCAAAATAGGAGAGAGAAGCAGGCAGGACATAGCAGTTCTTAGTAGTGAAAGGTGCTTATGCTAAAAACTTAATTGAAAATCATGCATTTAAGTGAATATATTATGTTTTCTCGTGGAGTTTTTCTTAACAAAATATTTACTTAGCATCCAAACAAGCAGCACCAGAAAACCGTGAGATAACCTCAAAAGCTGTTGAAGCATCATATGGTAAGTCCTCACTTAATGTCATTCATAGGTTCTTGGAAACTGGGAATTTAAGTGAAACGACA